TCTGGCAACGCACCAAAAATATTTTAAAAAGGTATTAAAAGCAAGTATTAAAAAAAATATTTAAAAAAATGTTATTCAAAAAGCATATTAAAAAAAGTTTATTACAACAAAATTTAGATTAGAACAACCATTTTTATGTTCTTAGATCTTGATCTCCATATATCAATGAGTGCGTGATTGACCAGTTGTTTCTTTACGGCGCAAAAAGTTTGTCTGGCGATTTTTAACTTGTTTTGGAAAGTCTACTTTAACACGAACACAAGTACTTCAGTGGTACAAAGCATTAAGAAGGTCGTGAAGACATAGAAGACTTGCCTTAGACGAGTCACCCATCCATCTATGATAATAAATTGACGATAACATTGAAATAGTTGAAGAAAAAGTGCTTGAAAATCGTAGTGATAACATGAAAAAAATTACAGACGATTTCAACTCGTCTTATGGATCGGTTCAGCCGCTTTGGTTAATGTTTTGGGTATAAAGCGATGCTGAAGTCGTATCAACACACCAAAATTTTTTGCAAAACCGGCGTCGAGTAGAGGGCGCAAAGAGATGCGTGGCATTATGTCGATTTACGCATATGATAACGCAACATAAATGTTTCGGAGAAACTATACTCACTAATTCACTTAAGGCAAACCCCGCCGAGGCTTATAACAAGTACTAAATTGAATCAAATGTTTACATGAGATACAAATTTTTATTAAAATACGTAAGAATGTAGTTTTTCTTCCAATACATATTTGTTCAGATGGCATTAAGTGGTTACGTGGGTTATGAAATTTCCAATTTTTTTTCTATAATATTTTCTCAAAATTTTAAGGCAATCGCATAAAAGTGGACCATTTGGAGAGCGGCGCGTCAGGCTATTTCAATCTTTAATCGTGTTTTTCTCGAAACATCGTTTTCAAATTCAGTAGTCACGATTTCTCAGAGACTATTGAAGCGATCTTTTTGAAATTTTTCACAGGATTTTTTTTCGATTACAATTAATTTTTGCAAGGTAATTTTTTATGGAAAAAATTGTACCCAAAATTATACTGTTTTCTTTGCAAATTTGCCAAAACATTTTTTTTTCTAAATCGTTCTAAGACGTTTTTGGGTGGTGCCTCCGGAAACCAGCCGAAAATATTTTATGAAAAAATCACAAAATATTATTCAAATGTTGTTCTTTGATATACTCAAAAGCAATAAAGAAAAAATAATATTAAAAAAAATGGTGAAAAAAGCTTTTTCGACCGTTAAAACCCACTTGACCGCTCAAATCAGATATGTATCTTTCAAAGACAAACATCACATTTAAGGAAAATATATTGCTTGGAGAAGTTTAATGCCAATCATGAGAAATCAATTTTATAAAACAAAAAAATATCCATTGCTAACAGATCTTTGACAAGACATTTGCGTTCCTTGAGTGGATATTCTTATCATTCCTTGCGAGAATAATAACCATACTTTTATTCTTATTTGTGCAGAAAAATTTCGAGATTTTTTAGCTTCATAAAAATCCGTCTTAAACTCTCAACTTCTTCTCAGAACTCAACACTGATACGTGTTATATGGCAATTTCCTTTGACAAAGGTGAGAAAGAAAATTTTCTTCCCTATGCAAAACCATTATTTGTATATAATATAAAATATATGTAGACTTGTGAAGCAAATAAATGATTTGTAATGTTTTTTCGCACTAACTCCGTAACAGTCTCCTCGTACACTCAGAAGAAAATAATATAAATTCAAATATGCTAGAACTTTTTGAATTTGCTTTTCCACTTACTTTTCAACAGACGTCATAAGTACATTTCGTAACCTAATCTATTGATTTATCGATTGTTTTCCGTTGAGGAATGTGCGAATTCGTCACTAATTAGTGTTGTCCGCACATTGGTAGATATATACAAATACATTCTAAAACATTGCAGAACTGTTTAAGATTTACAGAGTTCACAAATTAAGACATTCAACACGTTTTAAGAAAATATCAAAATTCAGCGCATTTTTGGAATTTTAGCAATGGAAGCACATAGGGATTGATAAATACACTCACCGTCAAGTAAATGTCCTTCTGGCAGTGGACCAGACACCGTTGGCGGTGGTATGGGTGAGATTGGTGCGGCAAATGGTGGTTGCTGCTGCAATTGTAATTGCTCACTCTGCTCAGCAGCCTCGTTTTCTTGGATGGGCGATTGAACTGGAGCCAGCTGTGACGTTTTCTTTTCTTGATTCAAAGCATTGGCGAGAATTTCACTTGATTTTTTATCGGTGATATTATGTTGTACACGTTTGTTTTTCAAGTGGTGCGGAGTGTCACTGCGGAAATCAAAGAAAATATATAAGAAATAGAATAGTAATAACTACCAGCACAGTAAAGTTATTTCATAAGAGCTCTTTAACTAACCATAACGTTTCCAACAAAATTGTTATCAAAATCACATACAAAAAAACATATTAATACATCAGTAAAAACTATCCCCCCCTTACCGTCTGTGCAATTTCATTGGCCGCTTGTAGAAGTCATCGTCTTCGCCCTCAACTTGAAAGCCCACACGCCTTTCCGCTTCATCCTGTAAAGTAACAGAAAAACAAAGTTTATACAGAAACTGTTATTAGCATTCGAACTCGAAATGTTATCTTATAAGTACGAAATGTTGTGTTAAAAGCACGAAATATTATGTTGAAAGCACGAAATGTTATCTTTTAAGTACGAAATATTATGTTAAAAGCACAAATATTATATTAAAAGCGCGAAATGTTATGTTAAAAACACGAAACGGTTAACTGTTAAGCAACTCTCGACAGGTTTCTGTCTACACTTACAAAGTCTTCCTCTTCTTCGTCGCCGGTAACGCTTGCTGCAGATGTTGCTGCAGCCGAGGCCACCACTACAGGGGCGTTACCATGTTCGGGCGCAACACTTGCTATCGGTTCATGTACTGTTACAGCGTTAACAGCGGGCTGTTGTTGTGTGCCCGCTGTCTGAGCGATAACAGGCTGTGGGGCGAATGAAATCGCTGTTGTTGGCGTTTTCGGCGATACCGGCTGCTGCTGATGATTCTCATAGATGGGTTTTGTCTCGGCTATATTCTCTACGATGGTGGAATTAGCGCCGATTCGTGCGGTACCGCTAACAGCGAACTTTGTTGATGCCTGCAAATAATGGCGTAAAGTAAATAATGAAAAGTTTAGTTTTGTTGAAAGTTGATTTTTTGAGTTGAAAATGATAAGCTAGCGTGAGACAAAAGCTTACATTCCTTTTGCGCAAATATCAGTTTACTTACTTCTTCGGAGACTGTATCCAAATTGCCGTCTTCCGGTCGACTGCGATCTTTGGCGAATAGTTTATGCGCCTTTGCCTTCAGCTCCTTGGGATGTGGTGTATTTTGTCGGACAAACGGTGTGTCCTTCTCCTGTGCGGATTCTTCGGAGAATTTAACGGAATGTGTTCTAGAAGCTTCACGCTCTTCCCAGCCATCCGAATCGGTTTCAAGTTCGCGTGCTAAGGATAAGAAAAGCGAAATTTTTTGTAGAATATTATTTAATATGGACATTTTTGTACGTATTTGCATTTATGACTCTTCAAAATTATTTCTATATCGGTTAAGTATTATTGTACATTTTTTTAAATTCTGATCATGCATATGCTTCGCTAATGCACAAAGGAGGCACACCTAGTTTGAAATTAAAAAATAAGAATCAATACAGCATTCTAAAGTGTAGCCGAGTTCAGTTCAATCAGCTTAAAAAAAGTCGGACGGATCAGTTTTAACCTTCAAAAATATGCTTTTTTCGGAGATACAGCAGAATATGTGACATGGCATGGTATTCTGTTACAACTGTTTCTCGAACTTTAAGCGCGGTTTTCACGAAATTACTTTTTTTTTTTTTTTTTTTGAGGCGCTTGAGAGATCGATCTGATTTTAGGCCGTCACGCTAGGTGTACCCCTTAAAAAATACTAGAGACATGTTCATGGAAAATCTATTTCAAGCGGTTAAGTATATAGTTAGCACTAATTATCGGTCTTGCAATATATTATCAATTTAATTAAATGAATGCTTAGTGAAGTAGGCATATGTAACTAAAATATTATTCATAATATTAGTATGTATGTGTTAGTTATATAAAAATACGTTTTTTTACTATTTATGGTATTAATATTCATAAGCATTGCTAGATTTAGGTTATATATAATTATCAATATCTATAAAGTCGCATTATTAATATATAAAAAATCAAACAATGGAAAATGGAAATCGGTCAGCGCTTTGGAAACATTCCATGAAACGATAAAATTTGAAAGGAATATCTATTTATTTACCTAAATATGATCTGTGTAAATTAATTTACAGGCAGACTAGGAAACTAGGGGAAGCTGCTTAGGCCTTCATTCCAAAAAATAAAAAATAAAAACAAATAACTATATTTCGATTAAACCTAATAATAAGCAGTTGATTACTTTACTGGGTTATAAATAGACATTTATTACCAGATTGTGATAAGCAAAAAATTTGGAAAATAAAAGCTGAAAATTTCGGTACTTCGCTGAACTTAAGCTTATTTAAACTCGATCAAAGATTCAATCCAACACATTTAAGCTAACTACCATCCACATTTTACTACCTTTCTAAGTAAATTTAAACGGATACTATAACCGGATTTTATATTACGTAAGGCTATTGAACTTGAAAATGACGCTAACAACTCCTGAGTTTAAATTTCAGCGAAACACTTTTGAAAGTACTTCCTCAAATTTCTGACAAAAATCATGAAATGGAAAACAATGACGTTCATTAGGTTAAATGACTGATTAAAGATCACACGTGGACAGCTATATGTAGTCCTTTGTGAAGCCATAAAAAAGAAGAACTCTTAGAAGACTTAGTAAGAGAACGCTTAGTTGCCAATAGAAATTTGCAAAGAAGTTTAATTTCCATTCTCGCCAGTTCGATGGAATGTCTGAAGGTATCTGCTCCCAAGTGTTTAAGTCTTGAACTCCCAAACGCGGGACAGTCAAGAAGGAGGTATGGAGTTTTTTCTACATCTTTTGTGATCGATCTTAGGCTAAACGGCTTTTGCAACAGCGCATGTACCCATGGTGGCTCAGCGTTGGCCAAGCTTTCGCGAAGCCCAGCTATCCGGTTCACAAAAGGATACTGAAGCACCGACCCTCTCCCATTCTACTGATAGCGGTTCTAGGCTGCCTTTCTTTGCCAGCTCATCGGCTTTGCAATTTCCTGCGGCAGATGACAACTTTCGGTGAGAGGCCATCTCAATATTTTTTTTTTTTTTTTATGACATATGTATGCCTGGTTCTATTTCGCCAGCAGTGCTCCGCATAAGATAAGCTAGGTGGTCAATCAACAGAAGAATGTCTGATTTCGACTGATTTGCTTACTAAAAGTTCGTCTCAACAAGGCGGATGGCTCCTCTGCGGCAGCATAATGCAATCGATGATGATTTTTACTCTCTCTTACGATAATCGGCTTCCATGAAAGCTTCCTATACAGGATAAGCCCTAGATCATTTTACGACTGTGATGTTGGTGGCTGCTTCTATAGCTAATTTTGGTTTGCTAAAACCGAAAATGACATAAATATGTGCAACACGTAGGATATTTTGTGTTGTAAGCAAGTGATGTAGAGGTCAAACCACCCCTAATCAGTAAAGTAACAAAAATTGCTGTACGATAGAAAGTTTTTTAACTCAAATTCACAATCAGTAGAACCCAAATACCCCACAGTCCCCTTAACGCGCTGGTCGCAAATTTTTCCATCAAATTTGTTGAGTAGTCTTAACAAAAATTAACTTCAAAATTTCAACATCGTAAATGATCAAATATTAACTTCAAACGAAGCAGCATTTACATAAATTAATAAATTTGGAAAAACACCAGTACATACACACATACAGGTACATTTCATAGAAAACGTAACACTTGTGCATTCCAAAGTACCACTTGAGCTAACTAAAGAAAATTGCTGTGACCTATTGTTCTACTTCTAATTTTTTTGTTATTCAATTAAATTATGCGCTATTCACGGCGCGCTTGGCGCTAGAATGAAGATTTATGTAAATATTATTATTATGCTTAGCGTGAATAAACTGTTACCAACGCCCATATCACATTAATATAAACGCACATACCAATGACAAAATGAAAAAAAAAAATCATTTATGTACACCTAAACACATACAAACTCGTATGTAAATCGAAGGTTGACTGCGTGTGCGGATAAGACAGCACACAAGTAGATATATATGTAAGTGTCTAAGTACGCATGAGAATGTACATAAGCTAAGTAGATATATAATGGCAACAATAGTAATAGCACAAGACAAACTTAACGTAGATAATTTGAGCTTAACAAAATATTATTACTTAGTATAGTATATCTAGCAGCGTACATGTCTACTGCGTTTGCACAATAGCAAGAAGTCTAGTCTAGACTAAGTACGAATAGGTGCGCATAGTAGAACCGCGCAAAGAAAAATTCATAATTTACAAACTAAGAAGAGTGTAAAGGATAATAATGGTAATTGAAAAATTAAATAGGGAGAAAATGTATTCTGAAAATATTAGCGCAAATAGTTTACAAAGTATACACAAAATACGTAATTTTTCCCCCTACTTTACTGTACGCCTATGTTTGAACTAGACTTCAGCTTTAGATAACAATTAGAAGAGCACGTAAAATGTCGCTGAATATAATTTATTATTAATTAACAAGTGAGCGAAATGTTTTGGATAAATATTTATTAGGCAAAGCAAAGTCTATAATATGTACTTTTGGCATGACAGCTCGTTGCATCTAACCGCTTTCATACTGTATTTATTAAGTTATGTATTAGCAGTTGTGAAGCGCTGAATACAGATATTTGTATAGAGATCAAAAAACAGTTTTTGCTGCTGTTAATTTGCTTTAGATACATCCACGCGAGAGAACAAGTTTAAACTACGCGTTGCAGCAAAACACATTTATATAACCAAAAGCTTTCTAACAATGTAATTAAATAATGTAAATAAAAAAAATGTTGGCTTCACCTTCACCGAAGTTAGAGTACACTTCATACAAGCATTTCTTACAGTATACAAGGGTATAAAAAGATCATTATATTTTTTTATATTAAATATTAAATTTTGATATGTCAGTTTGTATGACAGCTATATGCTATAGTGATCCGATCAGAACAATTTCTTAGGATATTGCATTATTACCTTAGCCAAAAAGCTACGCCAAATTTCCTGAAGATATCTTGTCAAATAAAAAAGTTTTCTATACAAGAAGTTGACCTTGTCCGTTCAATTTGTATGGCAGCTATATGCTAGAGTGGTCCAATCTGAAAAATTTCTTAGGAGATTGCATTATTGCCTTAAGCAATAACTCATGCAAAATTTCGTGAAGATATGTATCTCTTCAAATGAATACGATTTCCTCACAATTACGTGCTACTTATCGCTCAGTTTGTATGGCAGCTATATGCTATAGTGCTCCTATTTCGTTAGTTCCGACAAATGAGCAGTGTCTTGAAGAGAAAATAACATATGCAAAATTTTTGAACGAGACTTCAACAACTAAAGGTCGAATTCATCTTATACAGAGGGTTGGAGATGGCTAAAGCAACTTCATCACGCTGATCAATTCTATATTGATTGTATAGGACCTCCGATATTTCCTGCTGAATGTTATACCTAATATACGCTATTCATGGTATCCAATAAATATAGCTCGATTTTAAGTCAATCACTTCTCATTCAATTCAGCAACAGGGTGCTACAATCTATCTATTTTCCATAAAAATACGAAACCCAAAACTTCTTCTTATTACTTAATTTAGTCATTTACATACATATTCAAATTGAAAATTACATATAATATTCGTGGTTAGAGACTACACCTTCTAATAACGGCATAAACATAATCTCAATGGCATTATTTCAGTAAAATATAAAAGCGCATTTGCCTTGGAATGCGCCTTTAGCAGGTTCATTTAATCTATATTTGTAACCAGTAGCATTCATGTGAGTAATTTTTTGAAGCTTATCGCTCTTACATCATTTTTGGTAATCCCACGAGTGTTACCAAACCACAATTCAATGGTAAAGATAAGAAATATTCAACTAGACCTTCAGTTATATTGAAGATAACCTATTTTGGGTCACCAATATATTGAATGATTCAATTTCATATCTAATACACTTTACTATGAAATTCCATTCAGCAAATAGATTTGATATTCCTTATCATTACTACGTATACACACGTGCCTTTACTCAAGCCTGAATGTATAATTTTAAATATATAAATATATTTAAACATGTTTTTGAAGATTGTTTTTTTTTTTGTTCAAACTAATTAAAAGATAGATATATCGTAAACTATTATATAACTAATATTTGCGGAAAAGAGGTGGAGGTGGTCAAGCACAATCTTTTCAAATCTGATTTGGGGAAAAGCAAATATTATGGAATATTTTTAAAGAATAAATTAAGAATTTTGAAATTATGAACAAAGTCTTACTATTTTTTGCTCATAATAATATACAGTAGAAAAATGTATATATCTATAAATGTATATAATCTAAAACTGTTTAGCCGGCAAAACGGTGCTTATGTGAAGATCAGTTACTTTGCATTAATTTATAAATTTCGAAGAAAGAAAGCTTGAGCTATTTTACAACATGTATTACAAATTACACGCTTCAAAGAGTTACCGGAAATACGAATCAAGGTTGGCGGCAGAGCGACACTGTAGCTGAAAATTGCTTTTCCCTTGACAAAAGCTACAAAAGAACGAGTTTTCAGCTTAAGATATCACAATCATGTTTGTTTTTATTTTTTCACTTTGATTTACATAAAAACATAGTTAACGTCATTAATCTGTGTTACATGATGTTTCCGCTCTTGAATTCATTCTGCGTCGTCGCTTTTGTTATTACTCAGTTATAACACTTTTTGACACCGCCTTGCAAACGCCGCCTCAAACTGATTCATGATCAAAGCTTCTCAAAGAAACCATACAATTTGCGCTGGGCAACGCCCTTTCGCACAACACAGCTTACGTCACTCACGTATAAAGAGTTCGTTAGTCCAAGCAACGCTCATATTGATCAGCTGTTCTTTCTAAAAGTAATGTCTATGGCGCATTTATGGTCACTAAATACACATAGTAAAAGACTCAAACAGCAAATCATTACGCAGCCGGTTAATTGGCACGACATTATCATAAATAACTGTGGTAGCTCTGTTAATAACATAAATGTATACTTTCATACATATTTTTTATAAAGAGAGTCTTTATAAGGCACAGCACCGAGCGAGAATTCAAAGCTTATGGCGCGAGTATGCAAAGTAACTTATAAGAATAAGAATACCCGTAGGAACCCATTTCCGGTACATTGTAGGGTATATATGAATGTATGATGAATAAACATATTTGTATATCTAAATTTGTTGTAAATTCAATATGTAGGTCAAATGGGTGAATTAATTGTATAAAAAAATAATTAACCCATGTACTCGAATCAACGAAGTCTACTATACTCAATAAATATGAGTAAATTTTGATCAAATAAGTTGGAAATAATGTGTGTGTAGTGAATGTTGAGAGACTGCCTACAACTATCACTTTTCAATGATATTGTCCAGCTGCTAATTTGATGGTCGAACGAATAGATAGGTATGTACCATATGTATATGCCGGCAGACATATGAAAATGGACCAACCTTAATAATAACTGTATTTTAATGTAATATGTATGTATATATGCATATGGAAAAATGCCGAATACTGTTAATTTTTGGCCTCCAAATAGAAAAAAGTTATGATTTAATTGATGAAAAAATATATTAACTATTCGTGCGTCTACTAATTGCCACAAATGCTTTTAAAATTTAAGTTGCCAAATTTAAATTCCAAAAAAAAAAAAGCGAAAATTATTACTAATTAAGCAGGGTCGATAGCTTTTGAAGGAAAAAAATGTTAACTTCGGTTAAACGGTAGTTATAATACCCGTCACAAATTAAAAAAATAGTTCCATATAAGAACTTGAGTTTGATCGAATTGGACTGATATCGGCGATTCCAACAAATGGCCAGCATCTTCGGAAGAAAAGAACAAGTGAAAAGAGATCGCGCTCTTAAAAACGGAGCGACTAGGTCGAGTTTAAATTCAGAAAAACGGACGGACATATATGTATGTATACTGACATGGCTTGGCTTAACCGACTCAGCTATTGATGCTGACCATTTGCACCGGGTTTTCTAAAGGGATGATATGATTTCTTAGTGTCATTTCGGCCATTTTTAATACGTGACCATCTGTAATTATTTTTGTCATTGTATTGAATAATGTTTGCAATGTTACAGTCGCCTAATAATCGTTCCGAGCTTATTTCGAGGCAGAGGAAAATTGGCAGTTTTGCGTGGCTTTTGGTCTGGTGGAATCGAAATGTCGCTGACGGCACTGTTGCTATCAATGGAGAGCGGTATAGAGCGATGATAACCAACTTTTTATGGCCGCAATTCGAAGAAGTTGATCTTGACAACATCTTACTCCAACAAGACGGGGCTAGGTGGCACACAACACGTGTAACAAGCGAATTATTTCGAGAAAAATTTACAGATTCGATTATTTGAAGCAATTGTGACATTGAATGGTCTACAAGAACTTGAGTGGTTTTTAAGAATAAAATACGTTTTATTTCGATTGCCGAAAAAAATATGAAAATATGAAAAAATTAAACGGCGACGTTGTGGTTAAAAATAAAAAACCTCAAAAAAAGTTATAGTTAAAATAAAAAAATTAAAAAAATGTTGTGATTAAAAATAAAACAAAAACTTGGTTATTTGATTTTTCACATGAGTTTTGAGTTAAGTTAAAAAAATTAATACAAAAGTTGTACAAATTTTCAACTTTCCTTATAGGACTCATAGGACTTTACATAGTAGTTTTATAGAAAGTTCTGATAAATTGTTTTTAACCTCTAAAAACTCAACAAGTCTTCGCACCTTTCTCTTCCTGACCTCTGTAAATGTTTTTTTTTTTCATTTTTTTTATATTCTCTACCTTTTGTAGTGGATTTCATAATACTAATTC